AGATCTCACAGAAGTCTTGCGGCATATTGCTTATAGATTTACTTAGTACAACCTAAGAATGACTTTTAGATTTTTGACTTGTCAGTTACAAAATAATTGGTAAGCACACAAGTACTGTTTCAGTATCCCAATCACTCCTCAAATGGCACTTCAGGTCTTTAAGCTGAGTGACTCCTGTAGTTGCAAAAAAACCTGCAAAATGTCCTTCTGCTCCCATGTTGTGTGACTTTACTAAGTTTCTGATCATCATATTAATATGATTAGTTCTTTAGATATTTTAAAATCACCTTTAATGTGTCATGATGTTCATAGAGTTATAAAGGCAGATAAACAGGGATTAGGAACATCTTAAACATTATGACTTGACAACTGATTAGCAAATGTGTGAACAGTGTCCCTCGGTTTCTTGGTCAGCTTTGACACATTCAGCCAATCTCTGATTACAAATATCTTAGAGTGCAACACTGCAAATATCCAACTTGTTCCCTCGTGATAGGCTGATCTTTGGGTGACGTCATGATGACTACATCCATCTTTTATATGCAGTTTTATACTCTAGTTCTGGGATTGTTGTCTTTAGTGGTGCATTCCATCAGACTGAAGATTTTAAGTATTTTTTAATGAAAAGTACAAATATATATTGGTTTGTTAAAAATCTATATTTTTTTATTTTTGACTTCCATTATGGTCAGTAATGAACATTTTCAGTAATATATTAATATATTATAATATAACATATATTACACTACAATATATTATAATATATATAATACTGGATTTTAAAATGAAAAAAACTACAGTCAACATAAACTATAAATTTTAGTGTGAGAGAAAAAACAAGACTAAAAGCATGATGTTTGTGGACTTGTCAGGCTTGTGAGTCTGTCTGTAATTACACGACTGTCTGTCTCCTCTGACCGCCCTGCCAATCCATAATACCAGTAAACATTATGAAGTGCAGAGACATATGGCCATGCTCCAAACTCCTTTGGTGTGCCAGTGAAAATATTGACCAATGTCAGCACTTAAGACATGTAGTTCAGGAGTTCAGCCTTTATTATTTATACCTGTGTTTAACTAGTGGCTGCACTGCATTGAATAAAGCCTTGTTTCACTGACTCTTCACAGTCTGGGATTAATCACTTTGCCATTTGCGTCAACAGGCACGCTAACCTCTCATTCAGTGCTGCCAGTTCGGATATTTGGATTTCAAGGACATTGTTTACATTTGCACAGGCTTGACAGATTCAGTTCAAGCTGGTTTCAATAAAACAACATGGAGGGACATGAGCAATGCTAAAAATGGATTTTCTGTGATGTTAAATAAACTAAAGGGGTGGGAGTGTCAATACATTTACCAACTCTGTTACCTTTGATGTGGAAATGTATACAGGAAGTTTGTTATCTGCAAAAATGAACTTATTGAGAAGGGCAAAGCTGTATATTTCCAGTTTAAATGCATTAATGTTTGATAATTTGTAACAGCAAAAAATCCTTTTGGAAAAGGACAGAACATCACTTTAGCTCATCTCTGTTGTCCTCGCTGGAGGTCAGTGAATCGAGAAGCTTTCTTCTCTAAAAGTCATCTTTTAGACTGCTGCAGGGCTTTGACAGATGGCTCATCAATAATGCAGAATACCCTGATCATTACACGTCGACATGTGTTCAGAATCACCATGTTCAACAGTGGTTTCTCAGATTTACAAATAAGGCGACATACTCACAGTGAGCAGGATGAAAATAAAAAAGCGACCTTTTACATGTTGCAGTGGAGAAAGGAGAACCTTTCAGTGCCCAGCAAAGAAACTGTGTTTAATATTCACAAAGCTTTCTTCCTACATAGTTTTCCTTCTTGTACATTATTAATAGATACAATATCTGCCACAGAGATGACGCAGATTAGCAACACAAACACTGTCTTTTTAGTCCGCTCTTTTCAGACTGGAGACAGAGAGCATAAATGCCTTTCTCAGAACACTCCTGTCTGGGAGTCGTCAAGCACGAATCTGCTGCCATGCCAACCAGCAGCAAGACCAATCCCTCTCCAATATGCCTCTCCTCCAGTGGATTTGGTAAGAATGCTTTTCATCGTGCCACGGAAAAAACAGAATAACAGATGAGCATCCCGGCTATTCCCTCTCATCATAGCAAAGAGTTCTCACTCCAGGGTTGTTACCAGAGCCAAACACATCTCCCACTGTTGTTTGTTTTAGCCGCATTGATGTGAATTAGTGGACAGGAGATTAGACTCTTGTTAATCTGCGTCACGTTACACGGTGACATAACAGAGTATCGGCAGCATTGCATGTGATTTTCTTTGTTATAACAACCAGAGAAATGGAGGTCTAAGAGGAAGTTTTGGGGAATTAATTTTTAAACACACATAAAAGATAAAGTAGCAGACTAGGCCAGAGGCTTGTGTGTGTGAGTGTGTATGTGTGTGGGGGGAACAAAGTGTTTGTGTTTGATAGAGGGGGAAAAAAGAGAGCGAGTGTAAGAGAAAAGCAGGCAGGTTTGGGATTCTGCGTGTGATTGCATGCACCGCTCATCTGTCTGCCAACCCTGGCAAAAGTATGTATCTTGGGATCTGAGCAAAACCTGTTGGGCTTTGTTGGGGGCTTGAGAAGCGTTGGACAAAGATACAAAAATGCTGGAGCTGGAGCAGTGGATGTGAAAATGACTTGCATGACCCTGGAAAAGGATGTTTTTATCGTCTTTGCCCCTTTCTTTGAGGGTGCTGACTAGTGCAGTCTTGTAAGGGCAGTACAGCACAAAAGTTGTCAGTCGGCACCCTGCCCTACTGTGCAACTTTCCCTCGCAGAGTTTTGACAGCAACATTAACCTCATTCGTCAACAGGCACCTGGTCCATGGCAGGTGAGCTAAAGCGCTCAAATTACCTCCAGTCACACACAGAATTTTTAGTTTTTCAATCAGCTGCCCATAAAGACAGATAGTCTTTATGGGCATATAGTTGCACCAGAAGCATAAATGCTGGCTGGCAAAACTATACAGCACTTAAGACAATTAAATTAGCTAGAAACAACATATATAAACACTAGACCAACATCAGAGCCAACATCACAAACACCTCATTAAGTGATGGAGTTGAATTTCAAGGAACTGTTCATTGAACAGGGTTTACTCATTCGTGTCCACAGCCTGCTTTTTCTGCTACACCTTGTCAGCTCTGTAGAGAAGTACAGCGGTCATTCACATTTTTATCCATTAGGGGGCTCTCCAGGAATGACTAGTGAAGTTACCCTCCCCCAGAATCTTCCCCAGATTGAGCTCCATCATGCTAACCAGCCAGTTGTGATATATTGGCAGAAAGGTACTGAGCATAATGTGCAATGCGTAAATGGGTAAATCGATCGGTGGGGCTTAGGATCCTATTTTAAAATGAATGGCAACAGGGGAAAATCAAAGTAGTAATTGAAAGCCGAATGCTCAATAAATTATAGAATGTACTGCATGTGTTTTTGTGTCTGTGCTGCTATGCAGAGGGCGTGGCGTGTATCTTTCAAACTGTTCTATGAGCTGATCCACGCATCAAATATATATGTACTAAAAAGCAATGCTAATCCATGCCTTTCCTGGGTGTAACAAATAA